GGGGAGAGGGGGGTTAAAAAAGCCGAAAAAGTGCAATACGTTATCTACAGACGGCTCTTGCTGAAAAATAATTTCCGTAAAAAAAGGACGTAACTACATTTCAATGTTGCCAAATTTCCACTCGCAAATTGCAATTTCGACTGTACAGATTTTCCTTATTCAATTCGTGGATACGCAATTTTACCTAATTCTGAGTCGAAATACTTGCATCACGCGTTTCGCCTTGTCTAACTTTTGTACTCCCTCGTTTAAGTCTCTCGAGTCAGCTGAAAAGAGATTCTCCTTCAATCTAAGGATGCGCAATTTTACCTTCTTGGAAGTCGAAATAGTTGTATCACGCGTTTCGCCTTATCTAATTTTTGTACTCCGGCGTTAAAGTCTCCCGAGTCAGCCGAAAAGAGATTCTCCTTCAATATAAAGATACGCAATTTTACCTGCTTGGAAGTCGAAATGGTTGTACCACGAGTTTCGCCTCATCCAACCTTTCGACTCAGCGTAAAAAAACCCCAAGTTAGCGGAAAAGAGACCAAGCTCTTTTCCGTTGTTCTTGGTATGTTAGAAAGTTATATTGGTTCATTATTGTGACCGGATCAATGAAAATAAGGGACCTCATCTTCCGGCGGGAAATTTCCGAAACTTTGAGCTCACCGCAAAAAACGGTCGCGGGAAGCGCCTGCAAAACTGTAGGTATACCTCAAGCATCGTGCCGTCCCCCCGGGCCACAGTGAGTAAAACCCCCGATCTAGCGTCCCAGAAGTCCAAAATGGAATTCGGGGGAAAAGTTAAAATTTATGAAATCATGCAGTTCGACGTATGTGGACTTCAAATCAACTAATTTTCGTATCTATTTCCTCTTGTCAGGTGATTCAATCACCGCGGATAATCAAGACCGCGGGCTGCTTGTTGAAATTGATAGACAAAGCGATAGACAAAGAAGACATAAAGAGTATGAAGCGGTCCTATTGGTTGAAATGTGGTTCTCATAGACTATAGGAGAAAATGATGGACTAACTAATGGGTCTCTCGTGAGTTACCGTTAGTTATCGAATTACCTACTTCCTTTGACCATTCCAACCACTCGCTTCCGCCAATGGGATTGCTCCAAATCCTTTCTGTCTTCTTCGGCTATAGCTTTGTCTACTATCAGCCGCGGGCTGATTGTTGAAATGTATGGACAAAGCTATAGACAAAATAGGCAAGAGGGATATGAAGGCATTCTATCGGAGGAGGCAGATTGGTTGAAACAGACCCTGAAGTAGGTAATTCGATAACTAACGGTAACCCACGAGAGACCCATTAGTTAGTCCATCATTTTCTCCTATAGTCTATGAGAACCACATTTCAACCAACAGGACCGCTCCACACTCTTTATGTCTTCTTTGTCTATCGTTTTGTCTATCAATTTCAAGAATCAGCCCGCTGGACTGCACGTCTAATGCTACTCTGCGGTGCTAAGGAAAAACGCCGTATGAATATTCGCGAGGTGCCAAATTTTCCTTGATAAAACATGTATTTTTGACGACATTCATGCATATTTTTCCTTGTTTACAGATATTTCAGATTAAATTGCGTACAAAATTGTCTTAAAATTTTGGGGAAAAATATTCAAAATTTTACCAGTAAATTTGGTTTTTTAAAGAAGGAAACCTGGCAGCGGCTGACTCTGAAAGCTCATACGGCGTTTTTCCTTAGCATGTCAGTACTAGGGAATCGCAAAATGTCCTAGGATCCGCCGGCGCAGGGCCCGAAGGGCCGGAACTACCGGAAGTTGGAGAGATGACCGCTTCAAGAGCGACGACTCAGATCACGAAGTCCGTGCGGCCGTGGGTCCGTCTACGGGAGTAAAGAGAGGGCCTTGACCGTCTCACTGGCGGCGGTTATTTCTCATGCACTGCATGTCCGACAGAAGCTCGGATCGGCCTGTGTTCCTTCTGTTTAAAAGCGACTGACATTACTTCGATTAGCATTTCCATATCGTCAATTAGCCTTCAAGTCCGGCGCGGCGCACAGTGGGTCGAGTCAATCGTGAACTTTTTGATTAAAACTGCAAATTTTGATGTTTATTTCTTCACATTTTAAATTTCAAGAGGTGCTTGTAGAAGGCAATGTTACGAGCAGGGCCGGATTTACCTACTTGCCGCCCATGGGCCGCCTGTATTTTGCCGCCCCCTTTTCATTCGTTTTGAAACATCGATAAAACCATCAAGTGAAAGTGCCGAAGGAGGAGGGGTGTATAAGACGCGTTTACCTACTCGTGTTGGATACATTTTTTGCACAAGCCCTGTCAACACTACTAGCAAAATTTCACGGAACTTTGTACGAAAGTTAAGTTCCGTCAGCATATCTCTGTGTAAACAAGGTCCTCCACTTGTAAGAAATGAATACCAAAAAATTGAAAGAACAAACATAAATGTGGTTTAATAATTTTAACTTCCGCCGCTGCGCCGGGCTGATCGCACTGTGTTTGGAGCAATGCGTGACGTATTCATGCAGTCTTGTAGGCGCTAATATGTGTTACACGTCGACC